CAAGTATTAGTAAACTAGACGTAGTGATGCACATTTATGACCATATATTGCACACATCATGACTGATTATTGCACGTTATCATACATTGAATAGAAATTGTCTAACTGAAGTATACGTTAGTAATTCATACTGTATAAAATCATATCAGTACCTTGTTGCGATTCATACAAGTCCATCCTCAACCAAGATATTGTAGCAACCCCACGAAAAGCTGAAAAAAAAATCAAACAAAAATATAGCAAGAATGATATCAGTTAAAACCTCAGAGAAATTGGAAATTTCTATCTTGATTTCACTTTTCACATACAACAAGAAAAATTTAAGCTCAACATGAAAAAAATCTCGTGAAAATCCAACACATCGAAAAGAAAAATGAGCTCGATTTCATGGATATTTGTCGGAAGACTCAGGCAAACCGGAAATCTATACCTCGATCTCATGGAAATTGTCTCTCAAGACTCTGCTAAATCAATCGCAACACTAAATAACCCGAGAATTCGAGCTCAATGCTCACGAGGATCGACCACAAAATTCCGATAGTTTGTTACAGCTCAGAAATTGTAACCTAACTTAGTGAAGTTGAGGTGAGAGATTTTGAGGTGAGGGAATTGTGAATTCAGCTGTGGGGACTTGGTATGGGTGTTTACTTTGGCCGACATGAATTATTTGCGTAGTTACTATTGTACCCTTATGTTAATGGCGTGATCAGTTTTGTATCCAACCACCGTAGCCATCCGATTGATACAATCTTGTGGATCCGATTTATTCTTGTTTCTTTTGTAGAGACTCATATAATAAGAATAACCATTTACCAAAAATAGCAGCAAAAAAATAGGTTAGAATTTAATACAATCTATAAATAGTAAGTTTTATTATTTTTCTTTTTTCTTTTTTTTAAAAAATCATACAACATTAAATGTTGCCTTAAATTTCGGGTTTTGGTTCATTTTATTACTTAAAAATTCTGTCTGATCTATTAAGTGTGCATGTTTTTATTTTTATTTTTTTCTTATAATCAACGAACAACATTAAAATCCCGGTCTCTATATTTATGAAATCACAATTCGAAAGGTAACAAAAGTTTTAGAATCTCGATCTTTATATTTGTGCCTTTCAAAATAATATACTGACCGCTAAAAATATTTTTTAAATATCATCTTCCACAAATTATGACAAATTATTTATTTGGAATGCATGATAATAAACTTGGTAATGTTTATCAATGTTCTTTGTTTACCAATCTATTATTTTTTTTTTAAACTTGATTTCGAAAGGTAAAATAATTATCAAAATCTCAGTCTCAATAGTTGTGCATTTGAAAAAAAAAATATTTAATGATGTATATTATTTGTTAATTGAACACGATTTTAAAAACTCCATTATAAATTATATGTTGATATCCAAATCATTTTATAATTGCAACCGGCTTTGTAAATTCTCCTTTATGATGAACCAAAATATGTAAAATTATTAATTTTTCTATATTAAGCAATAAATATATGTGTTACAATATTATTTATATTAATATAAACGAGTTAACGAGCTAATATATTGTTAAAATAAAGTTTCAAAAAATGTTCTAAGATACGAAACACCCCGTGCATCGCACGGGATTCTTACTAGTTGTAAATAAAGCTATTAAGTTTTAAAACCAAACTTTAAAAACGAGAGTTTGTTACTTCAAAACAAATTGTCAGCGTTTTTATTTCATATTTAATTTCTATTTATCTTTTATAATTTCATTTTCGGGAAAATTAGACAAAACGTCCTATAACTTTCATACTTTTGTAATTTGGTCATCTTCTATTCCAAATTATAGTTTTCGTCCGACAACTTTACTTGTTTCAGCAATTTCGTCCTAAATGGGCCCAACGGGCTGATTTCGACCGTTTTAGCTTACGTAGCTGACCAGGCTGCCAACATGGACCTGATTCTCCCTCACCTGCTATAATTACGCGAATTGCTAGGGAAAATATCGTCCATTTCCCTCCAAGCCACAAATCACCTTCGAGCCCTTATATCTCAAAACTCTTGTTTCTGTTTTTTTTTTTTTTTCCCTGAACTCAAATACATTAGAAATTCATGCTTCTTCATCTTCCACATCTGATCAAGGTTCTCATTCCGACTTTGATGATAATGATTATGAGTTAGAAGAAGAGGTGAGTGATGATGAAAATTTGTTTGAAAAGTTCATAAATTTTGATGCAGAATGGTTACCAAATGCTGAGAAACGGGCCGTCAATGAAGATTTAAATCAATCTGAGGAGGATTCGAAGGCGGCGATGCACAAGTCATTAATATAATCAAATAATTTTATATTATTTAATATAAATTTATTCATTTAATATATATTCCAATCATCAACGGAGATTTAACCGCTTTAGTATTGTATCAACGGCCCAACATATCTAAAACTATTAATTTAAGACTTTAGTTTATATTGGCTTGAGACTTGAACGATGATAAATTATTAATTTAAGACTTGAAAGATAAAACTTATCAATAAAAGATCTGAATGATTTAAAATTATCATGGGAAATCTCTAAAAGTAAAATATATTTTATATTTTTTTATTTATATTGAATGATAATATTTATAAGTTTTATATTCTTATAATTGATATGACATATGTTGATATCCAATTTGGCTCTGAATAAATAAATAAATAAAATAGTATGGACCAATAACCAAGGAGCCAAAAGTATGTAATAAATAAATATACAAACAGGTTCTCAAGATCGATCACCTAAAAGCCGAACGGATCCCCAGATGTCAAGTCCGCCCCGCTGCCGAGCCAAATAAAATTCAAAGTAATTGGATGGAGCATATATCACAAAGAGGCTGCCTCTGGTAAACTTCACGATCGTCGAGAAGATAGACGTCGGTCGAAACAGGCAAATAATGATGTATTATCTCTTATATATTTAATTCACCCACTTGTAAGAAAGGAGTAGTGTATATATATATGAGAGGAGGAGAGAGAGGGGGGGACTTTTTTTTCTTTCCCTTCACTATTCATTTTCCTTCCTCCTAACAACAAAAAAGAAGAGGAGAATTTTCTCTAAATATATAATGAACACCCATTTTAATCATCTTATTCTCTACTTTTACACAAGAAATTCAACTATTATTTAACAGTTGATCGTCCGATTTTCGCATCAACAACATACAAAAGTATGTCCATACTTTTCATATCGTTGTACGTTTTATTTTTATTTATTACAATTATATTCAAAATCTTAAATTGATAGTTTAAAATATTTCGAGTCTTGAATCGATAAATTTAATCTTGCAGGTACATAATAGATATTTCTCATATTCCAGATCTCAAATGGATAAAATTAACTCATGTTTCAAAACTCTGACTTATAAAACGCCATTTTTTTTTTTATGATTTTCCTATCTAAAGAATATACGTTATAAAGATTATGATTTTTATTCTCGAGTTATTTATTTTCATAGTGAGTGAAAAGGGGATCCTCTAACTTATCATTTAAAATCATATATTTGATGTTTTAGATTGTTGTAAATAACCACTTTATATATTAATAAAATAGTTCAAATATATATCATATATTTAGTATTGTATACTCACAAAGACCTTTAATTAAAATAAATATATTATTAGTTAAATAAAAACAAAAATTATAGAAAGAAATAATGAGTTTTATTCCTGCCTTCCATAAAGCATACTTTGGAAAAAGATAGTGTAGA